AAATGAATTATGATTTCAGCTACATATATACGAGGAGGTAATTAGTAGCAGTCTTTCGGTGGTACATTAGCAGAGAGCCCAAATGTGGCTCTGCTCTAAAAAGAAATAAGCTAACAAAATAATTAGGAGTAAAAACACACGAAGGTCTAAGTTATTATAAATAGAATAATATTATTATTATTGTGTCTTAACTTTCGGTGATATTGTGATGACAGGAAAAATTAATTTGTTTTGGGATCTGTTAATCTGAACTTCCTAGTTCTGATGCAATGTGGGACGAGAGAAACGTGTATGTGTGTGAAAGGGAAGAGTCAAAGCCAATACTAAGCCTAGTCATGGACGAACTATTTTATTACTCCAAAGTATTAAATGAATTGTTTTGAATTTCGCGCAAAGCTACACGAGGGCTATCTGCGCTAGCCGTCCCTAATTTAGCAGTTTAAGACTAGAGGGAAGGCAGCTAGTCATCGCCACCCACCGCCAACTCTTGGGCTACTCTTTTACCAACGAATAGTGGGGTTGACCGTCACATTATAACGCCCCCACGGCTGAAACGAGGAGCATGTTTGGTGTGACGGGGACTCGAACCCGCGACCCTCAGATTGCGAGTCGAGCGCCCCTAACCACCTGGCCATTCTGGGCTGTACTGAATGAAGTTGGTGCCTGAAATGTTCAGACTCTTTGATGCAGAGAAAGGACAACAGAGGATAAAGACTTGGACAGAACAGAGGTTGAAGAATGGGCAGAAGACCGAGTGCAGTGGAGAGCTCTACGGACCACTTGAGGTCTAGAATGGACTGATGATGAATTTGAAATTATGTATTTATTAATTAATAGTTGGTAAAAAAACAAGAGGGAAAAACAAATATCTTGTTTATTTGGCGTTTAGAACGTACCCGAGAAAAACACAGTATGAATAGATATATTATTTGTTTTTCTCTAAATATTGGGCCACCTTTCCCCTCATCAATGACCAAAGGCGAAATTGGAAGAAAGCTAATGCATTTATAACCATAACATCAAATGTTTTATAAACATCGGAAACAGATTTGTTCAGTCTAGTTTCACGACACCTTTCTTACTGTCGCAATCGTGTACAAAGAGAAACACTGCTTCATGGAAAATTCACGAGACTTAATACGTTAATTTATTTAAGTATTGTCGGTAAACAAAGAGAGAATAAACACCCACTGGGGAGCCATATAGTCCGTAGCTCAGATTTTATCGAAAGGCTCTGTTACTTGAAGATGAGGATTTTGAAAATCCCACTGGACTCGAGAAGCGAAGTTTAACGTTTACAAGAATGTAAGAAGTTCTTAAACCGAAAACGAAGCTTTTCGGTAAAAAAATAAAATCCTTCTTATTTATCGTTTAGATTTTTTTTAGCCCGCAACACTAAATATAGCGAATTTCTTTTTGGTGCTAGTTCAAATTTTCGATTATTCAACGATAATTAAGGTTTAAAGTTTACCCAATTATGCGGAACTAGGTTTACCTGAATTGAGTGGGAAATCATTCGGCAAAAAGAAACTTTGCAGTTATTTATCCTCTTACAAGCTACGATGCTAAGCCTTTTTCCGACTTATTAAAGTGTTTATTCTCTTTCCGCTTACCGACAAGACTTACGGTGCTAAGCCTTTTCTGACTTATTAAAGTGTTTATTCTCTTTCCGCTTACCGACAAGACTTACGATGCTAAGCCTTTTCCGACTTATTAAGGTGTTTATTCTCTTTCCGCTTACCGACAAGACTTACGATGCTAAGCCTTTTCCGAGTTATTAAATCTCATCACTAAATGTGCTCGCCCTTTCAGCGACAGAGACGTTATAACGTGACTATCGCTCCCACTATTCGTTGGTAAATATTAGGCCAAGAATTGGTGTTTTTTTATGTCATTTCTCTAGTCTATCATTTCTAAATTAGGGACATGAGCGCAGATAACCCTCGAGCAGCTTTTCGCGAAATTCAACAAACAAACCAAAGGTGAATATGGTCACAAGTATACTGAAATAAATTAGATACTTTTTGTTTCATTATTTTAATAGAATATTGAAAAACTTGAAGCCAAAGAAAAAGAGAGAGATCCATTTTCCCGCTGAATGACTGATAAATAGTTATAATAACCTATTTTCGACGTCTTGCCTGTGTTACTAGAGGAGAGGATTGTTCGGGTAGGTGTAAAGTGATTATGTGAATACCGTTCGGGTAGGTGTAAAGTGATCATGTGAATACCGTTCGGGTAGGTGTAAAGTGATCATGTGAATACCGTTCGGGTAGGTGTAAAGTGATCATGTGAATACTGTTCGGGTAGGTGTAAAGTGATTATGTGGATATTGTTCGGGTAGGTGTAAAGTGATCATGTGAACACCGTTCGGGTAGGTATAAAGTGATTATGTGAATACTGTTCGGGTAGGTGTAAAGTGATTATTTCGGGTAGGTGTAAAATGATTATGTGAATAGTAGAATGTAAACCCATTCAGTAACAATACATTTCACCTTGGTTTGTTATTTATAATTGCATTGTTTTTCATATAGTCCGTTCGTTTGTATTTAAGCACAAAGCTACACAATGGGCTATCTGTGCTCTGCCCACCACGGGTATCGAAACCCGGATTCTAGCGTTTTAAGTCCGCAGACATATTCGAACCCGTGAGTCGCAAATGGCGAGTCGAACGCGCTAACCACCAAGCCATGCCAGGCTTACGAAGTTTACAAATGTGGTATAATATTGAGCGAACGCAAAGTCTGGGTAGTATAGTTGTTAACCATATCCAACTTATGGAGTTTAAGGTGTAGTGAAACGCTATCTTAATCCGTCGTGAAAAACTTGTTTTCATAATACATACGTTAAGAAACTAAGAAATAGTGTTGTTTTTTTTAAGTTTCGTTAAAGTTTATTTTCTGACCAAACTTCCTGTTCGTAATTAATTGTGTTGTACATTTTTTTTTTACCAGTTTTCAAATGTCAATACTTGTAGACAACTCCAGCCAATACAAAAAAAAAGGCCTCCAAATAATATTTTATACGTTTACGTTTTTTTAACAATCATTTATTTAGGTTATGTCTTATATACTATAATAAATAAATAACTCGCATTTTAATGTACAGACATCTTTATTGCATTTTAAGTAAAACACACACCAATACGTTTTTAAACACACATAGTTCACCAATCGATACACAAACTATCTCTGTGAAGTAACTGTATATTTAATGTCCTGTTCACGCGCATAATAATAAACACGTAAAATGTCCTATTAATAGAATTATTGTCCCATCACCTATTTTCACCACCCTCCCTTTTTATCCCTTCAAATGCAACCGTCCTGGTGGCCAAGAAATAAAAAAAGCAACTCTTTAAATAATGATACTTTAAGTTAAAAAAAAAAAGTCTACATTTTTTTTAAGTCCTAAGAAGTGTGATTTTTATCCAATAACGAATGAACTCGTTTTTTTTTAATAAGATGGTGTGTTGAAGGATGAAGATTAAAATTTAAAAGGAAACACTTTAAAACATAGTTAGCAATAATTATATATTGAATTTAGAATCTAGCTTTATGAATTTTAAAAACTAGTTTCCTTACTTTTTATATTTTGATTTTCGTTTAATAGAACGGTTAATAAAGCGGTTTCTGATTGCCTAAAGTAACTGTATTTAGGTGCGACATTTAAAACTGTCTACTACAAAAACGAACTGGTTAATAAAGCGGTTTCTGATTGCCTAAAGTAACTATTTAGGTGCGATATTTAAAACTGTCTACTACAAAAACGAACTGGTTAA